AAACACATTTCATTACACCAAATACACAAAATAATGTTCTTTTTAGCAACATCATATGACCCCTTTAAGTTTACACATCTGAGATTATAAGGGAGATACATTGAGATCTCTAAATTTAAAGCCAATGAAACTCTATAAAGTTTACAGGTGAGATTACCATTTTTTTCCTTTTACTCATCTCATTGTATCAGAGAAACAATCGAGACTTTAAAGAGATCTCATTTTGATGGGGATCGTCTCACTTTTTTCTCTGTGAAGTCTATAAAACATACAATTGAGGGGAGGAATTACAAATAGAATCGACTTGAACTTGGAAATGAAAAATTGAGCAGTGGATTGAAGAAAATAGCCTAGAGCAGAGCTTTATTGCTCAGAGTTTGTTCTTTCATTGCTCAGGAGATTTAATGGTGTCCTGACGTGCTTTATTTACATATTCACTTTTGTCTCCGATGTTTCTCCGACATGACTGAGTCGATAACTGTTATACAAACAGTTATATAACTGTTATATAAAGTGAAATAAAACCAGACATAACAATAATAGTCAATAATTGTCGTACAGTGAGAGTATAGTGGTATAGCATTAATGTGGATAGCATGCTGAGATCATCTTGAGAACAATTTGATACATTGAGATCTCTTCTAAAACTTTTAAATTTACGCATGTGAGATTACCAAGGTTTTTTTCGCTGGAGAAATGTAAGCAGACGTCTCTTGTTCTGAATCTCATAGTGTCGGGACTTTAAAGAGATCTCAATTGTGTGTGTTTTTTTCTTCTTTTGGGACAGGGTGAGAAAAGGGGAACCGTTTGGTTTCTGTTCTGTGTTTTTCTTTTCTGGAGTTGCAGGTGCAGACCACAGCTGGCACGACACATCCAGAGCCGTATGATGAAACGACATGAATCATAACCGCTCTCCCAGATGTGCAGCTCCTCGCTAACTTAACAAAGCTGCTGCTGTTTCCTCTGGCCTCTTGTTTTCTTTTAAGAAGGGAGATGAATGTTTGTTTGTGCATAATGAAAGTTTTCAAACGGTTTTAAAAAAAACTTGGGAGACGCTTAAATTATTGATTAAAGAACTTTAAAGATTAAGGATAAGCAGTCAACAGTTTGGACACACTTAGCTAAAAACTAAGCCTTCTTTAATGCCTGAAATAAGACAAAATATAAGTTATCAACAGATCAGATTGATCTTGTGCTTGATGCTAATTGGTTAATACAGCGTTCCACACATGCAAAAATATACATGATACACTAGTAGCTATATTTCTCTTAAACATGTCAGAAAGCATTAATCTTGACTGAAGAAGAGCACAAGCAGATACATTTAGTAAGATTAAAGACAAGACAGAAAAAAACTAGAGCTGTAATCGCAGCCCACATGCTTGGAATACCCCACACACACACACACACACACACACACTGAGATGTTAGCTTTGGTTTTACCACACACGTAGAGCATCGATTGAACTCTGTGACTCAGTAACTCGACATGAGTCAGTCAGTCAGTTGGTTGGAGAATATTAGGGGTCCCGAAGTCACACACACACAAACACACATAGTATGGGGCGCCACCCATGGCACTTGAATCCCTCTTGTCGCGGCCTTTGTGGTCTTTTGGATGTTCAGTGGTGGGATTAAACCCTCTCGCCACCCGAAGCACTTGTTTGACGCCTTGTCCTACTTTAGCTCTTTTTGTCCGTCTTGAATGAAAGAACGCAAACACACCTTGTCAATAGAAAGCCCTCTCGAATGGACTGCGCTTTCACGCGTCGCTACAGGCCTGTTTGTTTTCCCGTGTTAGTTAAAATCCGACGTTTTTTGCTGGATTATGAGAAAAACGAACCGAGCATGAACTTCAATAGACGTCTTAAACAGAAATCCTTAAAGGGGTCCTATTATGCTTTTTCACTTTTTCAACTTTAGTTAGTCTGTAATGTTGCTGTTTGAGCATAAAAAAGATCTGCAACACTGGCCCAGCTAACCGATCACAACACACACTGGCCCAGCTAACCAATCACAGCACACACTGGCCCAGCTATGTTGTTAAAACATCTACGATGTTTTTTTTAGCCCATTTCTTTGTGGTTTCTGAGATGTTTTTTTTAATGTGTTGCTGTACTTTATGAGCTATGGTTGCTAGGGTGTTTTGGGAGAACTATGGATTTGCTAAACCGTTTAAAAAGCATTGTGGTGTGGTTTAAGGTGGTTAAAATAGTTTTTAGCATGTTGCTCGGTGCTAGCTGTTTTGGCTGGTTGCTAGGGTGTTCTAGGGTTTGACAGGGCGTATGTTGCTACAGTGTTCTGAGTGTTTTTTTTTTTTTTTAGTGGGTTGCTATAGCATTCTGGGTGCTAGGGTTGCTAGGGCGTTCTTTGAGGTTGCCAGTGGTTTAAGGTAGATGTTGCTAGGTGCTAGCTGTTTTGGTTGGTTGCTAGGGTGTTCTTGATGGGTGCTAGATGCTTATTAAGCATAACTGAATGGCAGCTCTAGCTGGTTTCTAGGGCATTGTTAGGCTCTTCTGTCACTAAATTGCTGGCAGTGTTTTTTTTTTTTTTTTTTAGTTGCTAGGGTGTTCTAGGGTTTGCCAGGGCATTTCTGTGCTGTTGCTGAAGCATTCAAAGTGGACTTTTAGTGAATTGCAGGTTGGTATGGTGTTCTGGGTCTTTTTTTTTAGTCGGTTGCTAGGCTATAGCATTCTGGGAGCCGGGGTGTTCTTGGAGGTTGCCATGGGGTTGCTAAACTGTTTAAAAAGGCGTCGTTAGTGCATCATGATGTGGTTTAAGGTGGTTAAAATAGTTTTTAGCTAGGTGCTAGCTGTTTTGGTGCTAGCTGTTGTGATTAGGCTGTTTTTTTCAGTAGGGGAATTGTATTTAGTGTGTTGTTATGCAGTTGCTAGATTGTTCTAGGGTTTGCCAGGGCATTTCTATTCAGTTGCTAAAGCATTGAATTGGATTTTAGTGGATTGCAAGTTGCTAAGGTGCTCTGAGTGGTTTATAGCATGTTGCTAGGGTGTTCTGGGTGGTTGCTAGGTGTTGTCTCTTTTATCTTTGCAAACACCATTAAAATGATGAATGTGAATCCCAAACTCTGTTTTTCTCTTAGGTTACGGTGACTACGATAGGCTACGGAGACAAAATCCCTCAGACGTGGATTGGGAAGGCCATCGCCTCCTGCTTTAGTGTGTTTGCGATTTCCTTCTTCGCTCTGCCTGCGGTAAACACACTGACTCCTGTCTTTCTCTTAGCACACACACACATTCTCTGAGCTTGTCTGGCGCCCCGGGGCAGTGTTTTCCTATAGAGACCCTCCAGTAATGGGGTCCAGGGTTAATGTGGTCCATTTAAGAGTGATAGGGCCTCCAGGGGCCCGCGGTCCTCATGTTACACATTATATAACATGCATCTGCAACATTAGTATCAAGCACAATTGACAAATCAGAGCTACTGCAGTTTATAAAATTAAAATGCATATTTATATTGTATGTAAATATTTTTATATAATATATTAAATATACATATTTATTATTTATATTATATATAGTTTTTAATATGCAAACAATTATTAGAAACTGAAGAATATTTAATATAAATATAATTGGAAATTATTGGAAAATATATATATATATATTAGTTGTACTTCTTATTTGGCCTAATCTAACAGTACTATGATAATTTCAATAATAAATCAATAAAATGCATGATATAAGTGTGAGTTTTTCCATTTAGTTTATTTATTTTCTGGTAGCCAAACATTTGAACTGTCTTCCTCTGCGTGCAGGGCATTCTGGGATCTGGTTTTGCTCTTAAAGTCCAGCAGAAACAGAGACAGAAGCATTTTAACCGGCAGATTCCAGCCGCAGCCTCTCTAATACAGGTGACTAACAACTTCTCGCTCACTCAGCTGATGCTACGGCCACGACACAATGCACATTTCTTTCTTAACACACCGTAAATAACTCTGTCCCATGTTCAGACACTGTGGAGGTGCTACGCTTGCGAGAAGTCTGACAGCTGTACGGCTACATGGAAGATGTACGTGCTGACGGGCGACTACATCCCCATCATAAACTCAGAAAACTCCAGCCCGGGCAACTTCAGACGGCTGGTGAGGAGAAACGCTCCCTGCTCCCTCCCCCCATCTGCAAACGGATATTTCACAAAGTCCTTTGTGTTGTTTTTTTGGTCATTGTCATGTTCCTTCCTGTCGATTGTCCTGATTGAGCCTCCGTAGCGGGCCACTGCAAAGCCCAGACAGTAAAAGCATTTTTCTAGAGGGGTTATTGTGTGTTGAGTCCTTTCTATAGGCTCATGTGAGTTCCCAGAGCGCATGTAAAGGTCTCTGTGGTTGAACATTAGAGGGTGTGATGGGTGTTTTAGATGAACTTAGATTTGAGTTGAGCTGTAGCTAAGAAAAAATTGTGAGACTGTCTTTTTTTTTTTTTTAGCTTTTCCAGTAACAGATTATTTTCCACATGGCCTTGCTTGTTTTTGCCATTTTTCACAATTTTTACTCTAAAGTGTTAGAGAATTAGTTCATTCGGATGGAAGTAAAATGGGTTTTGATGCTTCATTTTGACTTCAACTGCATATTTAGTGGTGTGTCAGGAGTTCGGCTGTTTTCGAAGCTTTCCCAGGTTTTACAAAGATCTTTTTCCAACAAAGTAGTGATATAATCAAACATGCTATTATAGAATGTAGTGTTGTGAAGTTCAGTTTGTTTTACCGAATCAGAACTGATTCAGAAAATGATTCACTGATTCTTTTGAGTCATTTCCTGTGCAGCATTTTAGTCCTTCTTTATTACAGTGACATATTTATTGAAATGCTGCTTTTAATTAAATAAATTAATACTTTTATTCAGTAAGGATGCATTACATTGATCAAAAGTGGCAGTAAAGACATTTACTGTATAATGTTACAAAAGATTTCTATAAAAAAAAACAAAAAATCCTGTTCTTTTGAATTTTATATTTATCAAAGAATCATAAAAAATGTATCATGATTTCCACAAAAAATATTAGGCAGGACAAATGTTTTTCACATTAACCCTCTGGGGAGGATCACCTAATATTATTTAAATGTATATATTATTATTATCATTATTATTATTATTATTTTTATTTTTATTTTTTTTTCAACAGACTTCTTTCAAAAACTTCCCAAAAATTTTACTGACCCAAACTTTTGAATGATAGTGTATGTATTAGTTTATTAGTTGTATTTATCTTAAATTGATCTGTTTAAGTTTAGAGTCAACATTCACAACTCATTTTATACGTAATATGACTCATTTGCGGTAAACGTGATATTCAACAAGAAAATGTAGGACAAGACTTGATATTATTAATGAATCTATGACAGACATAATTAAAGATGAGGAATTGAGAAGAGTTGTTTTTAGTGTTAAATATCTGATAATGTATTAAGCATGCAAACTTTTTGTTAGTAGCCTGTAGTGTAACTATATTTTCTTTCTTTACCAAAAAGAAGCTTGTTCTTTATTTAACGAGTTCAGATGATGAAAAACTTCCCCAAGACGGCGTTCGACTGACTTCCATCCACGGCGAGTGTGTGTTTGACACGGAGCCAGAAGGTTTTTGCCATTCAACGTTTTAATTAACGCCTCTGTGTGACGGCTTTAACCCCGTGGTGGATTTCACAGGCTCTTTTCTGAAGAGAAACCAGGTTTAGGTGTGAGAAGCGCGGCGAGAGACCTGATGTCATGGGACGGACTCGTTTCTCTGTCTCTCCGCTCACCCGCTTGACCCCGCGACCCCCCTTTGTCTGCCGCGCACAAAGACGCAGTCAAATGCGATGATGTAACCGCGGCCACTCTCCTGGGAGCAAAACCTTTGTGCAGCGCAACAACAACAAAAAAATCTTTGTGTAGCTCTGACTCCAAATGTATTGGGCAGCGGGCGTGTGACTGTTCTCCTTCATAAACCTCTCATTTATTCCCCCTCACAGCAGTTATTCAGGCCAGCGGGAAGCCGTGATTTTGTGACGTGACTAATATTTCACTGGCTTGTGTAGGTTGCGTAGTCACCGCAGAATTCGTGGATTCACAAAATGCATATTCTCCAAAAAAGGGCAAATTTGAATTTCATATCTGTGGGAATTTGACGTGCTCAGGCGAGACGTGTGGTTTTTCCGTAAGCCTTATCAGTGTTTCTTGGGGAGAAACAAAGAGTTTCTTGGAGCTGCTGTTTATCAGATTATATATGAGATTAAACGTGGCTTTGTTTTGGGGTTTAGGACTCGTACGTCAAGGCTCGAGGCATTGTGAATTCTGTTTGTGAAATTATTTGAATGAGCTCGCAATAATGGCGAGTAAATCATCATTTGCTCTCCGTCATGTCGTTCCAAACTCGTATGACTCGCTTGCTTTTTCATAAAACACTTTTGATGAGTATTTGCCGTCGTTTTTCATATGAAAGTGACATACACTGTTGGTCAAAAGTTTTGAGATTTTTTTAATGTTTTAAATGTAAAATCGCTCCGAAAGGCTGCATTTATTTGATTAAAAATACAGTAAAAACAGTAAAATTGTGAAATATTATTATAATTTAAAATAACCATTTTCTATGTGAATATATTGTAAAATGTAATTTATTTCTGTGATCAAAGCTGTATTTTCAGCATCATTACTCCAGTCTTCAGTGTCACATGATCTTCAGAAATCATTCTAATATGCTGATATGAGCTCAAGAAACATTTATGATTATTATCAATGTTGAAAAAAGTTTTGCGGCTTCAGATTTTTGTTGAAATCATGATTTCAGGATCCTTTGATGAATAGAAAATTCAAAAGAACAGCATTTATTTGAAATATAAATCTTTTGTAACATTATACATGTCTTTACTGTCACTTTTGATCAATTTAATGTTTATTTATTTTATTTATTTAGTCATTTATCAGACACTTTTATCCAAAGCGACTTACAAATGAGGACAACAGAAGCAATCAATTGTAGTATTAAAACAACTAAAACCAGATCCAAAACTAAAAGCTAAAACTTTATAAATACTACCTATACACATTTTAAAAATAAAGAGATGAAATAAAAATGACAAATGCATACAACAAAATGTCAAAACTTAACATTTAAAAGAAAAACAAAAAAATAAAGCTAAAAACAATTCAAATAACTAAAATTTAAATAAATAACAAATACAAATAATACAAATCAAATGACAGTAGTTTATCAGTAATCCTACAAAATAACACTGCCAAACTTACATGCTAAAAAACAACAACTTACTTACACATAGTAAGAAATGGTTATAAAAACTGAAACAGAAGCGAAACAAGTAGTAGGAAAGAGGAGAAATAAAAAGCAATACTTATCCTTTGCCGGTGTCCTGCCCGGTGGAGTCGCACGCTAGAGTCGATGGTCTTTACACTCTTCGGTCCCCACACGAGGAGGCCGTCACGCCGCGGTAAACTAAGTAACTACTTTTTTATACCCTTCTGACAAAATACTACATTAATTCAGCTGGACACACTTTCCTTATTTTCTCCACAACAAATGGCCAAGCAAGCGCAGACACTGACAAGATACGCGATACAGAACGAGACCAAACGTGAATGTGTCCAAGATTAATAAAATAATGAATTTCTTTTCCTTTTTTTTTAATTACCTACCCCAGACTTTTAAATGGGTATCACGGTTTCCACAAAAATATTGGTCTGTTTTCAACATTGATAATAATCAGATATGTTTCTTGAGCTCATATCAGCATATTAGAATGATTTCTGAAGATCATGTGACACTGAAGATACAGCTTTGATCACAGAAATAAATTAGTTTAAAATATATTCTATAGAAAACAGCTATTTTGAATTGTAACATTATTTCTATTTTTACTGTATTTTAATCAAATTATTGACCGCTGGTGTAAGTTGCCCATGTGACTTCTGCACTATATTCCGAGTCTTTTTCATGATTTTAGATGAATAATTTCTTTATGAAGTGCAAGTAATGTTGTCACTCTTGTCTTCTCAGAGTAAGCGGTACAAGCGGAAGCCGAAGGTCACGCGTGATAACGGTTCTCTGGGTCCCGGAGGAGAACGCACCCTCTCCATCCCACAAATCACCTACGACCACATCGATGATAAAGACGGAGTCTTTACAGAGGAGTCCAGAGGTATGGCCGCTCACGATAGATAGCCCCTGCTGGGATAGCCCATGTTGTATGTTCAGTTATTACTATGATGCACAGCTGTGAGTGCTCAGTGTTTCATCGGTCTGGGTTAACAGTATATTTCCCATTATCTTTCTCTAAAGACATATTAAAAAATTATAAAAAGTATTAAAAAATTATTAAATAACTATTTTGAGCCATGAAACCCGAACCAATCGGTTCTGAGATTAATCACAATGTTTTATTTTCATTATTATTTATATGCTAGTAGAATTTATTAATATTTTGAATTGGCTTTTATTTTTATATTTAATATTTTAAATTTTAAATATTAGTTTTAGTCCGTTTTTTTAAATTTTTTTTTTTTTTTTTATATTTCTATTTAGCTTTAATTTTTTATTCAGTATTAGTTTTAGAAATGTTAGTTACTTCATGTTATTGTTACTTCAACTTATTTAAATCAGTTAGTTGCTAAGGCAACATTTCTCTTGAGGCTTCATTTTATTTTTCTTTCATTTTAAAACTTCAATTTTTTCACCTAATATTTATATTTTAATTAGTTTTTATTCATGTAAATTTTATTTATATTTATTTAGCTTTATTTCAAGTACTGAAGACGATTTTTTATTGGTTTTAGTTAACGATAACAACACTGATCACAACATTTGAGAAATTATTCAGATTCTAATCGGATTGACTCGGATTGTCCTCACAATATTTTTATATTTTCATTTTTTATTTTAATTTTAGTTTAGGTTTTAATAATTTTATGTTCTTTTTCATTTTTATTTAATTTATTTATTTTAATATTCCCCTTTTGCTTTAATGAATCTGTATTTTATTTTATTTCATTTTATTTCATTTTTGAATCAGATTAAGAAAGTATTCAGATTATTCAGATTGAGTATTCTGCGTTTACATGAAGGCTTAATTTCATTTCATTTCATTTCATTTCATTTAGTTTCGTTTCGTTTCGTTTTATTTTTTGTTTTATTTTGGTCTGATTGAGTATACACAATATTTTCATAATAATTTTAATACATTTTAATATCTTTATTTTAATTTAAAAATTTAATTTTAAAATTAAATTTTTGACATTTTAGTAGTTCCATTTAGCTTTTTTTTATTATTTTATTTTATTTTATTTTGTCTTAAAGATAAAAAATGAAATAAAATAAAATTATTTTTAAATCGGATTGACAAAGTGTTTGGCTTCATATGTTTACTCTGCTAATCGGATCGATTGCGGTGTTTATATGAAGGCTTTTCAGTCTGATTCATTCTGAATCAGTGCGATTGACCTGCATGTAAGCATAGCTGGTGTTGACACACTGATACGAGGAGGAGCTTGTTCCTGATGTTTCTTTTTGACCATGTCACATGAAAAGTGTGTCTATTAAATTAATTTGACAGTGGCAAATCTGAGCTTGAATTTATTAAAGACATTTGGCATTAAAGGCATTTTAGTGGCTAATATCTGTCAAATTCAACAGATAGATCTGACTACCAGAAAACTGGAAATGCGTGTGTAGTTATAGTGCAAAAACATGTTTTCAGAGTTTCAAGTTTCTTCTTCACTGGAGCATCCGGTGCGATTCATCAACCAGAAAACAGGACACAAAAGAGGCTCTTGTCATTTATTTATTCCATTCTTGTACCCCATAAATTGAGCGGAAGCGTTACGCTGAGCGATAAAGAGGATGGAAAGATGAAAAGCCGGCGTTTCGACCTGACCCATTTTTCCATATTGAATAGATGTCATTTTCCACATGCGAGTGGAGCACATCCGGTCCCCTGCTAAACCGGTCTGTTAATAAGTCTGTTTTTACGGGTTTTCCTGTCAAATGGCTTCATCATAAAAGCAGACACATTAACACAGACGGTCCCCAGCAGAGAAGCCTCTTCTGAAGCTTAATTATGACTGAAGAGGGGAAAGATAATGAAATCGCTGCACATGTCTGCAGGCCTTTGAACTCTGGGAAAAGGGAAAGATAAAAACATGTTGAGCGGTTTGGCTGATCAAAGCCTTCAGTCGGTTGCATAGTCTGTAAGGTATTTCAGCAAAAAGTATATTTTCGCCACAAGCATGTCGAAAAACTGTTGAAATAAACGCTGAACCAAACCAACCAACATTTAGGAAAAAGAAAGTGGCATTTGCAACCCATGATGTGTCTGGATATTTAACTAGAAAAACGTGTTTTTTGTCCATTGGGAACTGATTGAATTGTGAAAAGTTTAAGCAAAAGTGCCACTAAGTTTGAATGGCTACATGTTTTTCCCTTTACACAGGCATCACAAAACTTTTCCGATCATCAGGTGAGAGCTTTCTATCCGTGCCGCTGTGGTTTTCTGCTTGCTGCTGCTGCTGCTTCTGCTTTTTTGCAAGTGCATGTTGTGTTATGGTGGCATCATGTTGCTTGCTATACGTAAAGGCAAAAAATGCATTTATTTTAACAAAATGTGAACATTAAAAGCCAGCAATTTTCTTAAATGAAACGAGGTGTCAAAGCAGCAAGTCATTTCCATTAAAACATATATTAAAAATTAATAAATAAAAAGGAAATGAAAAAAAGTTACATTTCTAAGGCCTCTAAATGATCAACGTGATCAAAACGTTGCTGAAAAACCTGTTGCACGCAATCTACTGCATGCCTTCTGTCGTCTAATTGATAGTTTAATATTTTTATTTTTTACTATAATTGTACAAACGTCCACCTTTAGCTTGTGGTTCACGTGCGCTTTCGCTATGAAATCTTTATTGATTTTTATAAAGTAAACGTAGGAATAATGTTGATACAGTCAGTAATATTTCAAAATGAACACTTACTGGACTGAAGCAACTTTTTTTATTATTTTTTAAAATATTTTAAAATATATATATTTTTTTATTTGTTTTTGTAATTTTTTTAACTTTAATTTTTACATTTTAATTTTCAAGTTTTAGAATTTTTTTAGTTTTTGTCACTTATTTTTGACAAAAAATATATATTTTTATATGCCTATATAATTTTTATTAATTTTTATTTCAGTTGTAGTTTTTTTTAGTACATCAGGTTAAACTTAAAAAAAGAAGAAATGTTGATTTTGGAAGCTAGCTACAATTAAATGTTGTTTTTTTTTATATTTAATTTTAGTTAGCATTTACTTCAAGTAAATCTTTTTTTATGGCTTTAGTTTTAACTATAATAACCCTGCTTGTATGACAGCGTCACTGGAGTCTTGAGGCATTTTGAGGGCCATCAGCAACAGAAATAAACCTAAATGAAGTGTCAAAAGTCACACGAGTGCCAAATCAATGAAATTACACAATTTCACACATTATAAAGCCATCTCAGACGGTTTTGCTCATGTTGCAGTGTTTTCTTGACATCTAAACTTTCATATTAATTAGGGGTGTAACGGTACACATATTCATACTGAAAATTTTCCATACGGGTCTTTCTGTTCGGTACGCATGTGTACTGAACAAATACAGCGTTGTTTTAACCACTGCATGAGTGGAACTTCATTGGAAACTTCCAGTTTTATATATTGTTACTTTTGACAAGAAACAAAGTCTCATCTATAAAATGATGTCCTTTTATTCAAGAAATACAAACAATAAATGCTCTTTGGTGCGGCGCGACAGATCGCTGTATAAACGCCTCAGTTCAAACGGCAGCACGATCATCTCTTCCTCTTTACTACTAGTTTTAGCGTGAAATAAACATGAATGAACATCTCACACCTCATGTAATCGCTCAATCAATGTTTCAACTGCGGAAAGACGGCAATAAAACAGCTTGTTAACAAAAGGTCACGTAACTTTTAATTTACCTCAGGAAGTCATCAGTTTCCACAGCTCGTTAGTTCACTAGAGAAATGAAGTCTAGAGAAGAACATTTCACGAAATATTAGACCATATACTCATTATATTTGACTTTACCTGTTAGTGATGTCTTAATTATTTAATGTATCTTTAAATGAATCTGTTATGAAGAAGTATGACAGCCACTGTGTAAATGAATATATTTCACCAACAAGACATTTTAAAATGTAGAAGTTAATTTAAAAACTGCATTATGTGCAATTTACATATTTGCATACAGTTTTTTAATTTGAGTGGGTTTATTATTGTATTTAAAAATAAATAGTAATTGCCTATGTCTGTCTCTGGAGTCACCTTTACCGGACTTGCTGAACAACATCTTTGTCTGTTAAACACTGCTTGTTCAGAGGTTTTTAAAGCCACTGCTCCCCTTAAACTTAAGAAGCCAAAACCTAAAACTGAATCATGGCTTAATGACAACATCCATTCTCTGAGACAAGCTTGTAGAAGAGCAGAACGAAAATGGAAAAAGGACGAATTGCATCAAGAATGCAGTGAAATCTGCTAAGTCTAAATATTTTTCAAATTTAATTGCAAAAAATCATCACAGCTCTAAAGCTTTGTTTTCTGTTTATAGCTCTGTTTTAAATACTCTTGTAAATGTGATTTCAAATCCCTCTGTGTTATTATGTGAAGGTTTCTCAAGGTTTTTTTTTTGATAAGATCACCGTATCACCTGAGTCTTGTTGTTCTTTAGTCACATGGAGCGTTTTTGACTCAGTTTCTCTCCAGTCTCTCACAGAAATTATTGACAATTTGAAACCTTCCTTTTGCTCCCATGATGTTCTCCCTTCACGTATTTTGAAACAAATTTTTGATTCGGTTGGACCCAGTCTGATATCTTTTCTGAATAAATGTTTAAGTTCAGGGACTATCCCTGATAGCCTTAAGGAGGCTACACTTACTTCTCTTCTCAACAAACCTTAACTTGATGTTAGTGATTTCAATCATTTTCTACCCATTTCGACGTTTCCTTTTATTACCAAAGTCTTGGAAAAATCTCCTGTCTTTTCTTAGCTCAAATCAGATTTTTGAAACCCTCCAGTCTGGACTTAAGTCTCTTTATCACTGTTAGCGACTGACTCTGGCGACTCTGTGATCCTATTACTTTTAGACCTAACCTCGACTTTTCATACAGTTGATCATACTATTCATAATATGTTATGTGGGCATCCAGGGAACTGTCCTTAATTGGTTTAAATCATATTTAACTAATAGAAGTTTTTTTGTCAGACTGGGTAACTTTTCATTGTCGCCGGCTCAACTTTCTTGTGGAGTGCCACAGGGTTCAGTTCTCGCACCTGTTCTCTTTTCCTTGTATTTACTTCCTTTGGGCTCCATTTTCAGAAAGCATAGTGTATCATTTCACTGCTATGCAGATGAAATTGATCTACCCCTGATACGCAATAAACATACTGCTCTGAAATCTCTTTTTCCTTGCCTAGATGAAGTGAAAACTTGGTTTTCTCAAAACTTTCTATTTCTGAATGAATCAAAAACCGAGGTTATAGTCTTTGGTCCCCACGAAAACTCTGGCAGTAGAAGTATTGACCTGAACTACCTTGCTGCCTTTATTTCCTCCTGCGTTAAGAATTTAGGTGTGGTTTGGGATTGTAGCCTCAAATTCGACAAACAAATAAATGTGGTGATTGGCTCTTGTTTTTTTCAGTTATGTCTTCTCTCCAAGATTCAATCTTTTCTCTCTGAGAAAACCTTCGAGATTGCAATCCACACGCTTGTCACGTCTCGCCTGGGCTACTGCAACTCTCTCTATTATAGTATGTCCAAGTCTTCTGTCGCTCGTTTCCAATTAGTGCAAAATTACGCTGCAAAATTCCCCAAAGGATGGCGTAATTTGACCACGTTACTAAGATTTTGAAATCGCTACATAGGTTGCCTGTACATTTTAGAATTGAGTTCAAAATTCTTCTTTATGTTTTTAAATCTCTAAATAATCTGGCACCAAGCTATCTGTTTGAGCTAAATCAATACAATACCACATGAAATCTGAGGTATGCTGAACAGAGATCGGCACAGTCTTTAACTGCTTTTTTTTTTCTTTGGCTTTCAATTCGTTGTGAGCTCGTGTCATTAATACGTGATCTGCCCTGTGCTTTTGTTTTGTTTTGTTCAGCACTTTGGTCAGTCGTGCTTGCTGTTTTTAAATGTGCGATATAAATAAAGCAAACTTGAAACTTAAGTTTGGGCTCTGTTGTTAATTGTAACCTTATCGTAATGTAAAAGGGCTCCCTTTAGTTAAGAGCAAAAGCTGTAATTATAATCAAATTTATTTAAACAAAGAGCAATATGTTAAGTAAACCACTGTTTAATAAAAAAATAAGCAATTTTATATTTAGTTTTCCCCCTGCTGTACAGAAATCGTACCGAACCGTGATGTCAAAACCGAGGTACATACCGAACCGTCATGTTTGTGCATCATTACACCCCTAATATTAATCATGTTCTGCCTCTGCTGCTCTTTCTTCTCTTGTTTTTGTTGTTCAGCATGATCTTAGTTTGCGCTTTTTTTCTTTGTATCTGCATGTCAACAGACCGCCAGCGCTCATGGTCGGCTTTCGCTCTCAGCTGTCCTTCTTCTCCAGGTATCCGTCTTTCTTTTCCTCGCCCACATTTGGGAAATGCTCTCCTCTTTTCTTGAGTTTTCTCCAAAATGCATACATTTTCTGACTTTAATGTGTGCATTCATTCTAGCACATCTCAATACTTCCCTGCTGGATTTTATGTCATGTGAGTTTGTGGTTTATTGGAGATATTGTAATTTTTTCTCTACAGTTAAGAAAAAACTGGATGGCCCTGATATCTCACGAAACAACAGCCTGATGGATGAGCTGGACTTCACGGCTGACATCCCTCTACCTTTAGTTACAGATGCTTCACAGTGAGTTGCTCTGGTTTTTATCCACCCATTGAACACTTTCTTCGCTCAAAATGGCATTTAATGTTTGCGTTCTGTGTGAACGGCCCTGAACATTTGTGTATGTGGTGTGAACAAGCAGGCACATTTTGGATTTTCCACTTTCCACTTTTAAAGCATTCTCACTTCATCCTTTTCCATCTGAAACATCTCAAGATCTTCCTGATCCTCAGCCGTGAGATGAAGGAAAGCACCTCTTTCTCTCTTTCAGTCTTTTAAGAAGCCCGTTTGTGGCTAAGGAGGAAGAATCAGTCTCTACTCAGCACCTTAATACAACCAGGTACTTTTTCCTGTCTGTTTCCCGTCTGTTTCCTGTCTCTTTCCTGTCCCGTAAGTTTGATTATATGTGGTCAGCCTGGATGGTGAGACATCCTCTAACTTGTGTCTCTCAGCTGTGGTGATTTTTAACTTTTTTTTTACTTGAACTGTGGTGTGAACAAGCAGGCACATTTTGGATTTTCCACTTTCCACTTTTAAAGCATTCTCACTTCATCCTTTTCCATCTGAAACATCTCAAGATCTTCCTGATCCTCAGCCGTGAGATGAAGGAAAGCACCTCTTTCTCTCTTTCAGTCTTTTAAGAAGCCCGTTTGTGGCTAAGGAGGAAGAATCAGTCTCTACTCAGCACCTTAATACAACCAGGTACTTTTTCCTGTCTGTTTCCCGTCTGTTTCCTGTCTCTTTCCTGTCCCGTAAGTTTGATTATATGTGGTCAGCCTGGATGGTGAGACATCCTCTAACTCTCAGCTCTCAGCTGTGGTGATTTTTAACTTTTTTTTTTCTTGAACTATATTTTAGGCCATGTTTTTTTTTTTTTTTGTTTTTTTTTTTTACAAAAAAACTATAATTTAGTATGCCAACTCAATTCAGTGAATCATTTCTTTCAACCAGTTCATTTAAATGAATCTGTGAATCTTTATGCAATTAATTGTTCCAAAACATCTCAGCCACCATGATTAAAAAAAAAGCCAGTGAGTTGTTAATTTGACTGATTCAGTTTGATTTGTGAGTGACTCATTCAGATTCCCACGATTCCCGCGGTCCTGGAAAGCCTGAAAATATCAGGCAATTTCAAAAGTGTGATTTTCAGGACTAGAAAAAGTCAGAAATTAATAAAATATTTTAAGATTTTGGAAAATTCATGTAAATTTCCATAGTCAATGTCATTTTTTTAAATTATCAGTTATAAATTATTTATTCGAGTAGAAATTATTTTTTGAGAGTGAAATCTCTCTATACATTGATTTTTTTTTTTCATGGAAATTTTCATATCCAATATTTTTTTTTTTTAAATATGATAAATTCTAAATTATTTATTTGACTAGAAATTATTCTTTGAGAGTGCAATATCTATACAAATGGAAATTTCCATAGCCAGTATACTATTTTTTATTTGTATATATTTTTAAAGAAATTCTAAATTATTTATTATACATTGTTTCAAAAATAAAATCTTTATCCAGTTAAGTCCTAGAAATTCTTGTATCCTATAAAAGTTATGGAAATTCAGTTATCAGAAAATGTGGGAATATGACTTCAAATGATTAATTGAGAAGATCTGATTCAAATGAACGATTCTTTCACAAATTCACACAGATTATGATTTGATAGCTGAAATTATCTTTTTATTTTGAATGTTTTAATTTTTACTTTTTTTTTGTAACACTTTCCATTAATGTGTGATTCAAAGGCGTGATTTTCAGGACTAGAAAAAGTCCTGGAAATGAATCAAATATTTTAAGATTTTGGATAAGTCATGGAAATTTCCATAGGCAATAAACTTTTTTTTTTTTTTTTTTAAAGATATGATGAATTCTAAATAGTTTCTTTGACTAGAAGTGACTCTTTGAGAGTAGAATGGTTTAAAAAAAAAAAAAAATCTTAATCAAGTTAAATTCTGTAGTATCCTAGAAAAGTTACAGAAATTAATTTGTCCAAAAGTGAGAACCTTGTGTGACTCAGTTCAGCTGATTCACTGAGAAGACGAATGAATGATTCTTTCACAAATTCACACAGACGATTATTTGATAACTGAAATGATATTCGCCCAAACTCATTATTCTGGCAAGCATGAAATGTTAAATGGCTTAGTCTGCATCTATAGTTTCCATCAGTCTGTAGATTTGAGCATTTAGCTGGGCTGCACACACAGGTCTGTTTCTGAGCCACACCTGTGAAAGCATCTCATGTGACATTCAGCTCGCCCTCTGAGTTCTCCTGACACTAGACGCTTTCTGCTCTCCTGCCGCCCATGATGAGGTGTGTCAGTGTGGGCCTGTCCGGGGGAATGAAAGGATGTCTCTCTCATTATAAGGGCCTGTGAGAAGCCCTGAAGGGGGGAAATAAAGAACAGGAAGGGCGTGAGAGAGGAAGTGGGCGGCCCGTGGTGTAAAGGGATGCTGCGTGTAGACGCAGAAATTTCACACTTTATGACATTTAAAGGAACAGTTCACCCAAAAATGAAAATTTGCTGAAAGGTTACTCACCTTTCAGGCCATCCAAGATGTAGATGAGTTTGTTTCTTCATCAGATTTGGAGAAATGTAGCAGTGCATCGCTCGCTCACCAATGGATGTGAATGGGTGCCGTCAGAATGAGAGTCCAAACAGCTGATAAAAACATCACAATAATCCACAAGTAATCCACACCACTCCAGTCCATCAGATAATGTCTTGTGAAGCCAAAAGCTGCGCGTTTGTAAGAAACAAATCCATCATTTAGATGATTTAAACTCCAAAGCTGCTGCTTCCGAGTCCTCTATCCATAATATTTCTTCTTCAGTGAAAAAGTCGTCTCGTCTGAATCAGGAGAGAAATCTGCACAGATCAAACACAGTAAACAGTCTAAAACAGCTCTAAACATAGCCTATATGTAGCTGGATTTTGATGTGAGAGACAACAGGAGATGGACTTTTTCACTGGAGGAGGCGTTATTATGGATTATGGACTCGTATTTTGGTTAGAAGCAATGATTTAGTGTTAAAATGCCTTAATGATGGATTTGTTTCTTACAAACATGCAGCTTTTTGCTTCACAAGTCATTAAATGATGTGCTGTTTGACCTTTGACCCCATCTGTGAATCTGCCTGCTGCCACAGTATCATCCTGATCCCCTGAGTCTCAAACTGAGACTTAGAAGTGTGAATGAACTTTTGTGAAATATTCCACTACAGTTATTTTGTCTGATTCGCAAACGGTCCACAAAAGCGTATTGTTCTCTGTCGGATATTCGCTCTAGTCTCGCCAAGAATGAACGGAGTGGGAACACGCGTCGTATTGACACACAACAACTCTGTCTGAGAAAACCTATAATGAGAGGATGAGGTGGAGGAGGAGAGAGCAGAGCTTATTGAGGTCATTTACACTGTGAATAACTTCAGTCACAGACGGTTTCTGATAATACAGACCGAAGAACTCAGAATCTCAGTTAAGGGTGTAGTACTGTCTTTCTCTCTTTCTTTGAGTTTGCTTGGCAGGCTGTGCTGCTCATACTATTTTCACAGTATGCTAATTCAAAGTGTGCAGTTCACACACTGTATCCCACAATGCAATGCACTCGACTTGACCTTCTATTTCTAATGTGAATGGAAAAAAGCTTATTCATACATTTTCTAACAGCTGTTCATACATTTTCACAAATTGTAATAAAATGCAAAATAACCATTTTAAATATTTACTGTGTATTAAATAAACGTGAATAATATGTATACAAATATAATTTATGCTAGAGGTCTTGAAATTACTTTGTTTATATATTTAGTTTCTATTTTTATATATTTA